TGATGTGAATGTGACAACATCTGATTTATGAATACATATTCATTCTTGTAAGAATATGAACGTGCTAGTGGTAGTGAATGTACCACGCTCACCTCTAGAAGAAGGTTTGAGATGATATAAGAAAATAATGTCATTATTATATCATGAATGGTCATTTGTCACGTACCTATTGCACGCCAAAATAATTTGGTAATGTGATTATTAAAGAATAAAATTAATGCAAGAAACATATCTTGCATATAATTTTGACCATAACCATAATGGTATAACTTTCTCCTTGAAAGAGATATTCACCATATGGATGTTGATGAATATGTGGTAGTACAAAATTAATTGAGAGCTCTGAGAGAGCCAATTATTACCATTTTGGAGGAATACAATTGATTATCATATCAATTTATTGTGTTGTAGTAAGTCTCAAAGAAACTTACTTAGTTTCTAAAGTATTCGCAAAAACGATTGGTTATATTGAGACTATATAAATAAAGGAAAGATTTAATATCTTCAATTACTACAACTTGTAGCGGGGTAATATGTATGTGAAAAGCTACCCTCTTTATTCTCCAGTTTATACCACACAAACAAAAGAATGCCACAATAAAGTAGAAGTTTATTGATATAAAAACTCATATCATAATAAACTTGGAGTTAATTGATATCCAGTTGGCATAGCTGGTTTAGTCATATCAATTTAAGTATGATGTGCAAAAATAAAAGAGAATTCACATGGGTAAATATTAAAGAACTAGAAAGTTCTTTACAAATTCTCTAATGTTGCTTGTTCTCATTAATTAATTGACCAACTAAATTGGGATTGAATCCCATGAATGTTGGAAATATCAAAGGTGAATATGGGCTCATTCACCTGCCATGTATGCCACATAAGATGCATCTATGAGATGGTTACATGTGCGATTATTATTAACCCGCAACCTGACTGGTGTTTGCGAGGTAACTTGCTCAGTAATTTAATTTCGAGCATAATTTCCAGATTTTCTATTCAAGAAGTTCATCTTGATAAGTTGGTTTACATCACAATTGATTTAGAAAAATGATTTATTGAGTGCCTCCACTTAATAGCTAAACAATTGCTTATGAGAATAAAATTTTGTATATCAGTTTGATATACGTTATATACGAAAGTATATTATTTTTCCCCCTCACAAGTGGTTCGGGGTCAGGAACCAAATAATTCCATCTTATTATTATTGATGTACGGTGTATATTTTGATTAACACCATAATGCACAAAGGTGGATTCTTTAAGTTGAGGAAACAAGTTAGTTTTTCTAACATGAGGGGGGAGACAAGATACAACAGTTGAGAAAAAGTTACATGGAATGAATTATCATTTATACATCTAGATCCCCGAATAAAATAATATGAACTTGTAGTTCATAAAAGGATAATTCATGTGCAATTTATTGCAAAGCATGCTAGACGCATTTGCTGACCCAAAGAAAGTAACTATATTCTCATTGCAAATACTCCTATTAATATAAGTCCTAGAAGGACAAAGTCTATGGTAAGCTTAAAGCGTATAGACAATCGGTTTCAAATAAACTTCTTGATAAAGAAGATGAGCAAATGATCAAAATGATCATAATAAAGGAGGCAAGTGATCTGGAAGATCACATGACATAACACTTCATAAAATCTGAGAGATTCAGGTACCTGAATATATGAATGAAGAGATCTCTATGTTATGTCTTTAGGAAAAATAAGGAGGTTGGAACCGATATAAAATATTTGTCGACGACATCTATAATAGCGCTAAATATATATGAGGATCTCAAGTCTGGAGAAAAAATTCAAGTAGAATTTGGTTTCCTATGAAAGACATGTTTTGAACATGTAGTTCAAACACTTGAAAGTATAAAGTCAATGGTATGTGCAATCAGTTTTCAATATCTTATATGTCTAGCATGACATGAAAACTTGACATGCATCTAAAGTCTATTATATGGTTTATATGACTTAATTTATATGACAATCCATGAAGGATTTAAATTGCTTGAAGCATATACAATTCTTGATCTTGAAGTACCACATCCTCAGTGCAATTTGTGCACATATGTATCTTGCTATAACTATAAGCATGATAATGTGATAGCGAAAATACCTCTATGGAGATATTGAAAAGCCATTCCACGACATTATATGAAGACATTATATATCTATCAAGAATGATGATTTCAAGGTGCAATATAATCATTCAAGTTAATATGACTGATTTGTTTATCAAATATCTACCAAGGATCTTTTGAAGATGGTGCACAAGATTGGAATGCAAATGCTCAAGGATGTTAATTGATGCTCTCATCAGGGGGAGTTAATAGCGTTGTACTCTTTTTTCCTTACAAGGTTTTGTCCCACTGGGTTTTCCTTGCAAGGTTTTTAACGAGGCAACCAAAAGGCGTATTATTAGATATGTGTACTCTTTTTCCTTTTCTAGATTTTTTTCCCATTGGGTTTCATTTTAGTTAAGGTTTTAACGAAGTACATTATCTGTTGAATAGACATTCAAGGGGGAGTGTTATAAATAGAATTTTATTTATGGTGAATGTCTATATTTAGAGAGATTCTAGGGTATATTACTTGGTGGCTAAGTCACCCTCTCCCTATAAATAGAGGGTTCTATTCCATTGTAATTCATCCTAAAATCAATAAGAATTCGCTCTCTACTTTTCTCTGCAATACTCTTCTTCTTCTTTTATTGTTTTATAACACAATTAAAAATAATATTAGTTTGATCAAAGTGGGACTTAATTTGTGGAGGTTTTGAGCTCTACCAAATTTGGACGACGTATATAAAACCTTTCGAAAGTTCCATTGTGCCATTATCTTGAAACCTCTCAAGATTCAAACAGAGAGAAGTGAAATGCTATCCGCTCAGATTATAACAATTTCTATACCAATAAAGTATTCTTTAATTTTTTGGTAGTATTTTATACTCCCTCCGTTCTAATTTATGTGAATCTATTTCTTTTTTGGTCTGTTCCAAAAAGAATGATCCCTTTCTAAATTTGAAAATAATTTAGCTTAAACTTACAATTTTACCCTTAATGAGAAGCATTTATAACCACACGAATACTCTGAGCCCCCTTTTAACTTGTTTAGGACCACAAATTCCAAAAGTCTTTATTTTTTCTTAAACTCCGCGCCCAGTCAAATAGGTTCACATAAATTGGAACGGAGGGAGTAGCTTTTTATGCATATGCTGAGTTTCTTCGTTATACGAACTGAGAAGTTGACAACAACTCCCGTATACATGAGTCCAAGGTAAGTCATGTCTATGCCCATCTATATATATATATATAAAGCTGGGCAATCAAAGAGCTTATGTGACAGGCCTCACAAGCCAGGAAATTTATTTTCCAATTTTCTCAGATTTTAGCCATTTTCGGTCTTTCTCTTCCTTCAAAATCTACCACGTCTCTTAAATTCTGAAACGGTCCACTAAATCATCCGTAACTGTTCACTCATTCTCTTTAACTTCTCGCATCTCTTTGTATTCTAACCAACTCGCACATCTACATGTACTGATGAATTTCGACGGATTCTATTCTTCTTTCTATTCTGATTCTATTCTTTTTTCTTCCTTCTTTCTCTAGCTCTTTCTCTGTTCCTGATTTTGAAATTTCGTTGTCCTATTCTTGCAAATATTCACTAATGTGAATTTAATACCAAGTCAAGGTAATTATGCATTACAATGATTTTAGTTGTTACATAAAATTTTATCATAACAACTTCAATGAAAATTTATGATTGTGTAAATTTCTACTGATGATTTTTGCTTTTTACGGAAGTGGGTAAGATTCTTTAGNATATATTTTCATATATATATATATATATATATATATATATATATATATATATATATATATATACTATGACTCTATAAGTAAGGATGTAATAGCAATTTGGATCTCAATGTGATCTTTCCCTCTAGCTACTTCTACCTATTAACGATTTATTCTTTCCATGTTATTACTGCTTATTGACAATGTTATCCCTTTCTTAAGAAAAGAGGTTTATGATTTGATTTATTCCCATGCTATTTTTGATTTATGCCATGTTAGTTGGAACTTCTCTCTTCATTTTCGCTTTATTGCATTTACCAGGTTATTGAATCTCACTTCTAATTTTATGCTCTGATGGAGTATGCGAGAAAAGAGATTTGGTGTTTATCTTTACTTTCATTTAATTGCATTTTTTTCTCCTTTGTCCAAAAAGTCTTCACATTTTTTTTCTTCTCAAATCAATTTTGAATAGAAATATTGTGCAAGTTAATTTTCCAAATTCTAAGGTTTTTGTGCATTCCTACAGGTCTTGATAACACTAAATGAAAATTTTAAGTAAATTAGTTCCTGCTAGGATTTTAGAGTAAGAACGTGGAGTCGGAGCATGAGATTTCAATTAAGCTTTTACATAAGGCGACTGGGCATCTTCTAAGGTCTGCTTCCTTTTGTTGCTTAGCTTTAGATAAAATTTGCTGTTGTTATCAGATATAATTTGCTGCTAGGATATGATGTCAAGGTTTTTCCATATACTGATGTTTTCTTCATATTTAGTAGTAAGATGATGAAAAAGCTCATGAACCATGTAGGATTGTAAGAATTCAATTGGTTTAATGATTGCTGTAGATACCTCTGATTGAATTATGGGGAATCGTTAAATCTTTTGCATTCCCTTGGCAGTTCGCTTTAAAAGAAATCTCCAGTTTTCCTTTGTACTTAAATTCAACGTAAGGGAGTTTGATTGATTAAAAATCTAGAAAAGAGTTCCACTTGTCAGGTAGTTTATATCACTTCAATATTCTTATGCAGTTACAAATCAGATAGAGATCAATTATACATATGTCATATGAAGCCATGCAATTTTTTTTTCTTTTATCTCATTTTTTTGGCATTTTCCCTTGTTTTTATGTAATTTCTCAAATTTTTTCCAATTTTTCCCTTAATTTCCTTTCATCGCTTTCACTTTTTATTCTCTCTTTCAGTTTTTACATTTAATTTTCAGTTACCTCCTTCTCATGATTCCATTATCCCATTTAACATCCTCACATAAAGTATCAGTTACAAAATAGGTAATTGTTGCTTTTGGAAAACAATACGAAGAAATGTTTCATTTTTAAAGAATCTATATATGCTGCATTCTTGCTCACGTATTTGAAGGCTTCCAAAGCTTTCGAGCATTAGATTGGTTTTGAGACATTTTCAATTATTGAGACCAACAATGTTAATTATCTTTGCTTTCTCAATTTCACCTTTCCCCTTAATTACTTCTTCTGCTAATATTTTTTTTCTTTGCTTTCGAATATTAGATTGACGTTGAGACATTTTCAATTACTACAACCAGCAATGTTAATTATCTCCGCTTTCTCAATTTTACCTTTCCCCTTAATTACCTCTTCTGTTAGTATCTTTTTCCTCTATTTAGAAAGGAATGTCTGGACTTTCTTTTCGATTACAAATTTATGGTTGCATGAGTCTAGAATTCTTCTTTGTTTTTGTTTTCTTTTGCAGATGGGAGAGGCGTCATGTTTTTTATGCTCTATATGGAGATTTTCTGAAGCCAACAATCTATGAGGTTATGTGATTTACATATGACTAATTCAATAATTCGATGTCGAACATAATTCTTTTTCGAGGGAATTTCTTAAGAGGGATCAATATATTTGAAAGTTAACCATTTAAATTTGACTAAAAGTATTTATTGACTTTATGCCAGAAGCTTTTATTGACTTTATGCTAATTAGAACCTAAAATCGGTATTTTCTCATATATTTTTTATAACGCCTCTATGAAATTTAAATTTTTATGATACATCTATAATGTGCAGGTTGCCGAGCTATCGACTATATGAATGAATGTAACTTTGTTGAATGGGGCAAGTAGGGTCCTTCCTCAAAACAACCTTTCTTCATTAAACCGATTCCTTTCTTTTTGTTTTTTCTGCGTGATAAAAATGTATAAACATTTTCCTATACTTTTCGAGCATCTTATGTTACATACCTTCATCATGGTATGAGTTTCTTAAAACATCTCCTTTATTATTATATTTTGAGTCTTTTGGTTATTTACATTTATTATTGGGATGTTGGAGAATGAGCGAGAAAAAGAAAACTTGATATTCTTTTCTGAAAAAGAACTGGTAGGGACTAAGGAAGGGGAAAAAATATAGAAGGAAAGGACTAGATAAATAGGTAAACCAAAAAAAATCAATGGAAAAAAATTATCACAGAAGAGATTCATGTACAGCTTGATTCCTTCGATTTGGGAGTCATGGTTTCGCTTTTTCCTTTTTTCTTTTTTGCTTTTACTTATATACTTTAAGAATTGATTTATATTACCTTTTTTATAGCCTTATACACATGGTTTTAATATTAATTATTTTTAGAAGTAAACAATAATAGTAGACTGCACATTTATTGAAGAAAGATAAGAGTAAATTAATCAAAGAATACTTCTTATTAGGAAAACATATCATATATATAGATTATTATACAAAAACCAAGTATCTCTAGAACTTTTAGAAGTATCTAATTGAAGTATTAAATAATAAGATGTATAACTTGAAATTTTTTAGTTTATGAAGTTTACTAAACCGCGCGAAGCGCGGACAAATTAACTAGTTTGTTATAAACGAGGTAAGTTTAAAGGTTTTGGAAGGAGATAAAAGCCCTTGATATAAAGATAGATGGGTTCAATATTCCCAGTTCTTTTGTTACCATTAATAGAAATTTGACCAAAAATTAAAAAACTGATCTGAAATAAATCCTGGCCTTTCAACTTTAAAGAGCACACGTGTCACTTGATCTAAGACTATATTGATATATACTGGAGCAACTAGTAACGGAGCCGAGCCGCTCCCGAACTGAATGTGGTTATGCTAAAAACATATGGAGCAGACTGACTCAATGGGCACAATTACAGAATATAGTGATTTGTACATGGAATAAACACCTCTAGTTCATCTATCAACATCCCAAAGGGAAGATTGCATCAGCAAAACTCCTTAAGAAGATATATACTGAGTATACATATGCTCTGTGGACAGTGGCGGAGCTAGAATTTTAACTAAGAAGAGTCAAAATACAAATAAGTGAGCACATGAAGAAATCAAGGGGAGTCAACATACCATATATACACGTAAAATTAAGAATTTAACGTATTTATACGGTGTAATTTTCCGACGAAGGGATGTCACTTGACTCCCCTTGCCAATGAGTGGCTCCGCCACTGTCTGTGGAAGGAAAGGAACAGAGAATCTTTGAAGAGACAACCAGAGACCATGAAAGCTTTACAAGGGGATAGCCTGCATGTGTTAAATTAAAGCAGCTGGAGTGGTGAAGTGCTTAGCACATAATTTTTTTTACTGCTGATAAGATGATAGACAACACAAAATGTTTAGGACCCCGATGGACAATAGTCTTGCCTTTATTATCTCTTTGAGATCTAGCTAGCTGGGAATAGCTATGCTATTCTTGTAATGCCGTTCTTGGTGATTAATAATAATTTTAATTACAAAAAATAAAAAAGGAATTCGGACGATTTTCAATTTTTCGTGTGCTAATGTCCATGCTATTTTTATGAATTCGGAAGACGGGTTCTAAATCGTCTAAATTTTGTGGGTCCATAAAAAATGACCTAATGAAGAATAATCATTTCTTCGATATACATGTTCCTATTTTTTGGCATTTTAGGACCATGAAACAAGAACTCAGGATGATTTTTAATTTTTTGTGTGCGAACGTTCACGTCATCTTCATGAATTGTAGCGACAGGCTCCGAATCACCTAAAACTTTGTGGACCCATCAGAAATGACCTAATTAACTACAATCATTGCTTCTCAATTTAAAGAAGTTGCAAATATATGGCACCCGGGAAGACTTTCATAGTCATAAGGACCTCTATAATTTTTGCTACTTAGATAATCTTGAGGAATTAGATTTTTGTCTTACTAATCAATGTTATGTTTGCTTTCTAGAAAGCATTACACCTTCGGGCCTTCTGAGCTTCACGAGGCAAAACCGACGAGCAATTTTGCTGGAGAGACCATCTCAGGCCCTTCCTCCTACAGAAACTTTTCATTATTCAATCCTTCCTCCTCCAATTGCTTTTCCGCAGAACCTCAAGAAATTGGCTTTTAACGGGACTTGTTTGCGGTGGAAGGATTTGAGGATTGTTGGTAAATTGCCCAAACTCGAGGCCCTTAAACTGCGAACTAGTGCCTGCATAGGCGCCGAGTGGAAGGTAGTTAAGGGAGGTTTTCCTAGTTTGAAGTTTTTGCTACTGGAATGTTTGAAGGTTCGGTATTAGAGAGCCAGTTGTGATCACTTTCCGTGCCTTGAACGGTTATTTCTTGAACATTGCTGGTATTTGGATTTAATCCCTCAAGATTTTGCAAGTATAACCACTCTTGATCTAATTGATATTAGGTGGTGTGCAGAATATGTTGGGAATTCCACCAAACAAATTCAAGAGGATATTCAAAACAAGTATGCAAGTTTTGTTGAGGTCAATATCCGTCAGCCTTTGTAAGATATATTCTTCCTTGATTTACTTGTTATAATTGTTGCTTGTAGTTGTAGTTCTGTGTCCAAACTGTATGATAAGGCTAAGGCTTGTTTGCTACTTGATTAAATCTATATTCAGAATTGAAAGGTTTTGGTGGAATGACCCAACTAAGTGGGTTTCATGTATTCATATTACATTCACTATAATGTAACAATACAAAGAATGGAAATGCAATAAATACAAAGATACAAATATGACAATACAATCAATCAAAGATAATTTTAGTAAATTCTAATTATTATGTATATAAATGCTAATCTTCTAAATAAATATAGAATATTCCCTAACTCAACCCCTCAATTTGAGCGGGAGGAACGAACGTTCAGATTGCTAACCAAATTAGTGAATCTGGTTGAAGGTAATGACTTCGTAAATATATCTACAAGTTGTTGGGACGATGAGACATGATGAACTAGAATATTTCCCGAGGCAACTTTCTTACGAACAAAATGATAATCTATTGAAACATGCTTCGTTCGAGAATGCAACACTAGATTTTGAGCAAGATACAATGCCCCAGTGTTATCACAGTAAGCTCGAATATGCTATTTTAAGAAAATGTGTAAGTCACGCGATAACTGTTGAATCCATGTGACTTCAGTTGCAGCAGACGCCAAGGCACGATCCTCTGTTTCAGTACTTGAATGTGCTACTGTGGGCTGCTTTTTAGCGGATCAAGAAATAATATTTTTTCCAAAAAATACAATAACCAGAGGTTGACTGCCGACTAGAATGACATCCCGCCCAATCAGCATCAGAATAAACAAGAAGATTAGGAGATAAATCACAGTAGAGTTGTAGGCCAAAGTCAACAGTACCTCGAATGTAGTGAAAAATTTGCTTAACATTATGTAGATGAGCTTGGCGAGGTTGACGAAGAAACTGTGATGCTAAGTCCACAGCAAACTAGATATTGGGTCGTGTGAAAGCCAAATATTGTAATCCTCCAACCATTTTTCGATATTTAGTTGGATCTTTCAAAAGAGGAGAATCAAGAGTGTGCCAATTTTGCTTACTATGTAAAGGAGTAGTCACTGGCTTTGATTCGGATTAATTATGTCTATCAACAAATCTGAAATACTTTTTTTGGGATAATATTAATCCATCAGAATTAGGAGTAATTTTAACCCATAAAAAGAAGGGAAAAAGGACATTATGCCCATGTACTATTGTAAATAGTATACGTTTGTCCTCCGTTTCACTTTACATTCAAAACCAACCCTACCATTAACAAAGTAAGTGGAACTTCTCCTAACCCTAAGGGATGGCCAATGTGGCACCTGACCCCGCAATATTTTTGTCACATAGGATCCAAGTCAGCTTTCCAAAGCGCGAGAAGATTGTTTTAACCCATATAATGACTTATTAATCTTGCAAACATAATCAAGAAAATCTGGATGGATGAAGCCTCGAGGTTGGCGCGTATAAACTGTTTCTGCCAAATTTCCATGTAAAAAGGCATTACAGATGTCTAGTAGGCGCATAGTCCAATTCTGAGAGAGTGCAAGACAAAGAACCAAGCATATAGTACAATGTTTGAAAACTGGAGCAAACGTTTGATCATAATCAATTCCAGGTTGTTGGGAGAAACCTTGGGCGACTAAACGAGCCTTGTAGAGCTCAATCTGTGCATCAGCTTTTCTTTTGATCATGAATGCCGATTTATTTCCAATTAAATTGTAATGAGGAGAAGGAAGAACTAATGTCCAAGTCTTATTCAAAATGAGATTGTTATATTCAGTGCTCGTGGCATCTTTCCAAGATGGATCTTTTGCAGCTTCAGAGTAACAAGATGGCTCACGTAAAATATAGGAGGACACAGCAAATAAAGAAAGTAATACTTTTGGCTTCAAAGAACCCGTCATAGAGCGAGTTATCATCCCATGAATTTTAGAGTATTGAGCAGCGGCCACTTGAGAAGAAGAGTTTGATTGAGGTGAGTTAGGAGAGATACTTTAAGGAGATATATTTGGAGAATTACTTGAGGGAGATGAATTAAGATAATTATTAGATGCAGATGAATTAGGAAAATTATTAGGTAGAGATGAATTAGGAGTATTATTAGGAGAATTATTAGAAGGAGAGGAACTAAGAGAATTATTAGATGGAGAGGAATTAGAAAAATTATTAGGTGAAGCTGAATTAGAAGAATCATGAGAATTAGGAAGTGTGTTAGCGTGAGAATTGGAAGGAGGCATTTCAATACCATAATTCAAGGGGAGAAATATATGGGTAGTGGAGGAGAAATATTAGGAGATAATATAGGTAAGGTTGATGTGTGGAAAAAATCAAAGTTGCTAGGAAATTTAGTAGAATTAGAATCTGAAAACATAGAAGGATAAAGAAATATATCTTCTACAAATTTTACATGCCTAGAAATTAGCACTTTATTAGTTGAAGGATAAAGGCACCTGTATCCCTTGTGATCCGAAGAAATTCTAAAAAATATGATAAGAGTGGAACGATGATGGAGTT